TATAAACAATAAGGTCAAATATGAATATTCGTTTGATTTTCATACTTGATTTATATGTGAATCCCACATGAAATGATAATATTTTTAATATACTGGGCTAAATAAAATAAACTTTTAAATTAATTTCATTTTTTTCTTTTTACTTTCTTTAATGTGGCTACTAGAAAATTTAAAGTTACATATGGGCTTGCATTTGTGGCTTGTTTTATTTTTCTATTGGACAGTGTTAACCTAAACTGTGCTGCCACCCCACAGCTTCTAACTTCATTCTGGCTCTGCTCTCTGTGCTATCATAGGTTGATGCCATTTACCTAACCTCCTTCCCACTCTGCTTGCCTTGATCTGCCTACCCTCCGAGACAAATGAACTCTTTAGCTGTTAGTTCGTGTAACTATTAGCAGAGCCAGAGGGTGAAGTGTGGAATAATAGTTCAAAAGGGTAAGATTGGAGTGCAAATAAAAGCATCACAAATTGTAATGCCTCTTATTTTACAAATGAGGAAACCAAAGCTCAGAGAGGTTAAATAATGTTTTGTCTCCATCTGGGCCCCTTCTTACATGATTTGAAGACTGCTGAAAGGCTCATAGACTAAAAAGTATGTTCTTCCTCCCTCTCCACCACTCAGAAGTGTTTTTCATGTAATATTTGAAATTTCCACTATTTGTCTTTTTCTTTTTCTTTTTCTTATCCAGCAAATATTTACTAAGCATGTACCATAGGCAAGTTATTTGGGAGTGTCAACAATGAAGTCAGTGTGGCTGCATAAGTGTACTGTACTGTGAAAATGTTAACATTGTATTTTTCTTGGGAAAAAAAATGATTAGCACATCTTGGTATAATAAGTTCATCTGTTAGCTGCCGAAGCCCTGAGGAAGCATTGGAGAATTTTCCTCCAATGGAAGTGGAGAATTTTAAAAGGGATAAAGAAAAATTGAAGAAATATCTAGATTTGAGGTAGCTGAAGAACTTTGGAAGTACTAGGTGAGGAGATAGAGCTACTAGGAGCAGCATAAAAGTAATATGATCCTAATGGAAGGTGGGGGAGAAGTAAGCAAGAGTGATGTGAAAAAAGAAATTCTGAAGACTGCCTCACCAAAAGTAAACTTTATTCAGTGCCAGTCCTTCCAGAACAAATCACTTAATTTTCCAAGCTACTCAGATTTTCTCCTCTTGAAGTTACTCCAGTTCTCTGGAGAAACCAGAGATGCTTTTGAGTTAATAAGCAAACACTAGTAGAAAGACTGTAAGAAAAATCATTAATTGCTTTCCTAGTACCTAGCTGAGAGCCAGAAGGGAATGGAGATTTTAATTGGCAAAGGTCAGAAGAGGAATGTATTGCAATTTAGAAATTTGTTATTAGAGTATTAAAGCAGAGCCAAACATGGACACGATTTGTTGGAAGGTTTTGGCATAGAGAAAGGAACATGGCAAACTAGAAACACCTCAGAAGTGCTAAGAGTTCTAATAAAATCAAGTGGGGTAAAAGTGTAGGTGAAAGACAGAAAATGAATAGGAAGTTAATGTAAAAATACAACACAAACTGGAATGTATACTGTGACTTTAATCATTCAAACTAGTTTGTATAATGATGATGAGACTAACATAGTATAATAGTGAGGAAAAAAATTTTTGAAAAGGTGGTGGTGTTTGACTTTAAAAAAGGTAATTTATATCTTGAGTGTAAATACTACATAGGGAGGTCAGTGTTGAAGCATTTTAATTTTGCTCAGGTTTAACTGTATCTCTTCTCCAGATGCTCACCTGGGATAGCTAACTACTACCAAACACTCTCTTTGATTTTTTGACCTAATGTAGCTGTCAGGTTTTTATTTCTTTATTTCTGTTTGACTGGAATATCCCATTAGTAGCAAAGTCTTATGGATTCTTTCTCTGAAGTTCCTTCCTCTCCTTGTATACTGATATTTCACAACATGACTTATTGCAAACTCTGTAGTTTCCTCTCCCCTCCAAATTAGCCTACTTACCAGTATTATCTTCCTAAAGCATCTATTTCATTCTTCACTTGTCTACTTAAAAACATAAAACATAAAAATCCCTTGTAATTTTTCACAGACAAACTTGTTAACTTACTGCTTATGACAGTGTATCATCTGACCAAAGTATACTTGCCCAGACGTATTTCCCAACACTCTACAATAGAAGTCCTATGTATGACCTTTCCATTTGCTGTCCATACAGTGTGATGTTTTTTGTATGTGATTTCTCTATCATTCTTTCTCTTTCAAGGAATGCTTTTTCCTCACTAACTTACCAAGTTCTGCCCATTTTTCTGAATCCAGTTTAGATATTACCCCTTCCAAAGGTATTTCTAAGTGCTACAGGCTTTATCGATCTCTTCAAAATCATTTGGTAATTAAGGCATTAAGGCATTTATTACATTTTAAACTATGTTATGCTTTATCCTTACCCTATTCTGTTTCCTGTATGTTTTTTGCCCAGCCGAATTACTCGTCTTTTAAAAGAAACATTCATTTCCTATTATTTGTTTTAATACATTACTAAACATTTAATAGACTCTCAATAAATACTTTTTGATTGAAATAGTATTGTTGACCAATTTCAGATCTGAAGGTTAGAAAAGCTAGATAAAATTTCACTCTTAAGAGATGGCTTATTTAGATATCTGAAACTTAAAGTACCCCCTTAGAAACTAAAATTCAGCCTTTTAAAAATACCTGATTCTTCTATTACAGATTTTCCTAAGAAGATAGATATCTATTGCTGCATAACATCATCACAAAATTTAGTGGTTTAAAACAATGAACTTATATTATCTCACAGCATATGTAGGTTAGAAGCTGGGCATGGCTTAGCTGAGTGACTCTGGCTCAAGGTATCTCATGAGGGTACTATCTAGGGCTGACGTCTCATCTCCAGGCCCAACCCAGGAGATTCTGTTTCCATCCTTACTCACATGGTTGTTGGCAGAATCCAGTTCTTCACAGGCTGTGGGACTGAGGTCCTTAGTTCTTTGCAGACAGTAACCAAATTCCTCCTTTGCCATTCAGGCATCTCCTTAAGACAGCTCAGAACATGGCAACTGGCTTGCCTCAGAGTAAGCAAGTGAGAGAGCACCATGATGAAAGCCATAATATTTTATATTCTAATTTCTTAATCACTGGAAATGAGTCAGTAAGTCCAGTCCACACTCAAGGGAAGATTATACAAAGGTGTGAATAGCAGGAGATGGGGATCATTGAGATTCTTTAAGAGGCTGCCTACCTTAGCCAGGCTATTCTTTTCTTATCCAGAGATCTTCCCGAACTTCAGGAAAAGTGGAGTTGCTTATCTGAGTCTTTCCTAATAACTACTGTATAATTAGCAACTAAGATTTAATCTGTGATAGCATATCCAGGGTCCTTTAACATTGAATTATATAATGTTTTGCATCCTCACTCCACTAAAGTGTTAGTCATAAGTGAAATAAATATTGGGTATAAGTATAGCAGTGATGTTCTCAATTATTTGAAAAAATAATGTATAGAATTTACTAAAAGCATTGTTTTCAGTTAAATGCTGTTTCAAAACCTCAGCGTATAAATTAATGTGCCATGTATAGTAAGGACTGAAATATATTGTTAAATGGACTTGTTTATATTTGTCTGAATTCATTAATTTAGTGCTTTTGGAGTTATTCTACCTATGCAGAATAAAATCATTGTGAGTTAAATTATACTATCTTAAAGTTCTGATTAAAAGCACAAATAA